ACTTCCAAATATCCACAGTCTAAACTAAGAAAATGGAACAATAAACTAGAATGCAGTAATGAAAGAAAGGGGAACTTACATACCACCTAATTCCTATGTACTTAACTTTGCTTTATGCTTTTTACATTTATATCACCCAAATCATTCATCACATAAAAAATACCAGTATTTTACCTTATAGAAATAAAGTACATAAGAATTGAGTGGTATGCATGCAAATCTTCCTAAAAGAAAGTATCCGAGAATATTTACCTCCCATCAGGAAGATACCTTCGAATGGTGAAGGGTATCTTGCGCTGCCGAAGCTCTTTCATTGCAATCTACAATAGTATAAGAAAGCAGAGGTTGGAGAAACAGCTAGAAAATTGATTAGCAACAATTAAATATACTCAACAAATCAATTCAACTCTGAACATTAAATTGTATATGCTTTCAAGTCAAGGTAAGAAAAATAAGAATGCATGTTTAAAACACCAGGTGAATGAATTTGTGAATGCGGATAAAAAAATTTTCATGGACTACCAACCTCTCAATCTGTACAAAACTTATTTTGAAAAGTTTTGTTGGAAAACCAATTTTTTAGGCTTACATGGCTAAAATGAGTTAGAAGCTCATTCAATTTATTATCCTGAATCAGGTGCATCAAGCACTCAGAGCATGATGGGGAGAACTATTGATCCTGTTGCTATAACGTTATGAATTCAATTTGCAGCTTTCACTTCTCCATTCACAACTTATCATAATCATCATTAGCATAATCGCAACTACTTGAGGATGGCCTTAAAGAGTTCTCATTTAATTTCATTCCTCTCGAGTATTCTTCAAGATGTCTATACTACACAAATAGCTTCCCCAACACTAAAGAAAGGTTCGACTACTTTTTCTTTCTAATCCACTGACACTAATGTTAATAGTTTGTCTAAAGGACGCATTTTCTACCCTCTGTTGTACATGTCCACATCATTTAAGTATTTTTTTCTCTCACTTAAATTTTAATAGATATCACTCCACCCCATCATCGAACATAATCTTCCTTAATTTCGCCACATATCAATCTTAATGCCCTCTTCTCTACATACCGGCATATATCAGTATCCTGTTCTAATAAAAAATCCTATGCTACTATTTCATTTTAATCATTTAGCCTATCCTTTTGGATGATAAATCCTCATCTATATATCCATTATTACGTATAATAAAATATAATCTACATCATATTGCACCTAGCTATCACATTATCTTCTAACCATAATGAATGATAGCTGGTAACATCATACCAACTAAAATTGAATATAATATACTTGATTGTTGTTCTACCAATTTCAAATCTCCATCTCCTATATTTTTCCTTCACCGTTCAAATTTTTCACTTTTTTTTCTATCTCCTGCAGTTTGCCATTACATATGCTATATTTTTTTTCATTTTTAAATGGATTTCTCATGAGTTAAAACCATATCACCTGTGAAAAGCACGCACCAAGACACTAGGAATGTCAAAAATTGACGCGACACAACAACTCCACTCGAAAAAATCAGGCTAGGGTTGACACCAATATTTTTCAAGTTGAGTTAAAGTCTTAGAAGTTGACACATTTAAAAAATTTGATCATCTTCAAGTCAACCCGAAAACCCAAAATCACTCATAATAACCCGCAAAGGCTCCGCACTTCGTTTCCACAGTTCAAATCTCTTATTTCCCACACGGTTCTTCAAGCGCCGCACTTACTTCCCTTCAAACCCTTCTCTTCTATGTTACTTTCATATTTAGGGTTTGCAAAGTCGCTGGGTCACACCGTCCCGATGCCTTTCATCTGCATGATCCACGATGAGAAGGCCAAAAGAAAAACCTAGGCAAAACTTCAAATTTCCATCCGCCGCTAGTGGCAAGATCAAAGGCTCAAGTCTTCGATGCGTTCGAATTTTCATCCTCCATTTCAAAAATTGATAAGCTACAGATATTAGTTATTATTGAACTTTTTTATTTTATTTTTGGTTATTTTAAATGAATATTAACATAAGCTACATATTCTTGATATGTTTTGGTTTTTGGCTGTTTTGGGTTGTTGTGATGACACCCTTTTTAGCCCTTGGGGCTCAAACGTCTTGTGATTTCACCTACTTGATATCACATCTCACTATTGATCTAGCTCATTGTTAGCTTATGGATTACCCTGCCTATAATGGTTTCTTTACGAGTTGCTAGTTACTTATATTGTTCTTTGTTTTTTGGGGTTATTTTGATGATATTAATTGGACTTTGGAGATGTTGTTCTCTATCTTTAGATTTCTGGCCCATTCGCTCAGTTCCATAGCTCTTGTTTATCAACTATTTTCGCATAAAAACTCCACTTTTTTGCTCTCCTTTTGCTATAAAAAATGTGCTTTCGTAAGTTTCATTTGTTGGAACAAAATTCTTGGATGGAAAGAGATTTTTTTTTGCAAGATTGATGTCTTCTTTTACATCTTTGGATGTTTCCTTGAGTGTATCTCATGTTTTTATTTACATAAGATGATTTATGACTTATTGCATCATATGCTTATTTTTGTTGATGTTGAGTGAAAATTAATCTCCAACATAACTTCAATTTAATGTAAGTCTCTTTATAGTTGACAAGTTAAACAGGTCGGGTTCGGGTAACCCAAGTTTGAGTGGGGTTCAAGTTGAAAATTTCAAACCGTATAATATTCAGGTCGTGTCAGTTTCGAATCAGATTTGAACTTGACTCGTAGACCCAATTGACACCCTTAAAATAAAATTTTTAAATTTTTAAATAATAATGTTTAACATTATGATACTCATCATCTAATTTAAAATTTTAATTGTTTTCATTACCATAAAAGTTTAAATTTTAATATAATTATTCTTCATAAATGCTAATGCTTATTAAAGCATTCTCATGTTCTATTTATAATAGAAATTTTCTTCTTATATTAGTCAATTGGTGACAGAAATATATAAATTTTAAAAGACCTTAAACTATGCCATTTGTTATGGCTTAACAGGATCTTTGAGCCGTGTATAGTATTTACCATTGACAATTATTAAACATTGGTTTTATCATGGGTTCAATAAAATTTTCTCTAGTTTTTATTGAGTGCATAAAAAGACTACCAATGAAGGTCCAAGATATTTCTATGATTTATACCATTTTTCATCCCAACCGCACCTATCAATGTAAATTTTTATCAATTATAACCATCAGACATTATTATAGGCAGAGGTAGACTTAGGAAGACTTGAGCTTATTGTATAACAAATGATCTTAATTTATTAGAACTAAATGAAAATATGTCACTAAATAGGGCAGAATGAAGAAAAAGGATTCATGTAGCCGACCCCACATAGTGGGATCAAGGCTTTGTTGTTGTTGTATGAGCATCAACCATTTTTCAAGTCATGGATGATGTCATCTTACAAATGCAGTATAGCTTTAAGTTAAGTGGTGATTCTTTGGTTGGTAGTTGTTTTATCAGTCGTGAATCCCTTGGAGTCACGGGTTCGAGCTCGTCTGAGAGCATTTGCCTGTAGCGCCGTAGCGCGGGATCGAGTGATTAGGCACATGAGGTTGGTTGGGGACTTTTATCATAGCCCTAGCCAATATAATTGGGAAAAAATGAAAAGTTAAGTGGTAAGGCATCAAAAATCATAGCCATTTATTTCATTGAGTTGATAAATTTCTTCTGTGTCACGTTTCATTATAAGATGGCTTTCAATAATGAAAAATGACTAGTTATAGCCAATGTTATTGACAGAACATGCTCCAAAGAAAAATAACACAAAGTGCAAGTGTCACATTGCTTCGTTGCATCATAGCATTGTAAGCTTAGTTCCTCAAAGCAAAATCACAGCTAAAATTTCATGGTCACACTCAGCATCTTCCATAATAACAAAGCATAATTAATTGTTTTTCCCCACTGTTTCTCTTCGTTATTGAGTTTTTGTTCATTGCTTATTTGCTCTCTTTCATTGGAACTAGTTTCTTCTTTGGTAATTCTCTCCAGATCACTCTATGCCAGTTCTTATATGTTAATTACTAGCTCCAAAGCATGCTTCAGGTGCACTGGCTATATGTATCGCTAATATGAAACACAAACTCACAAAAATGTGCAAGTGTCACATACTTTGTTGCATCGTAGCATTGTAAGCTCTGCTCTTCAAAGCAAAATCACAAGTAAAATATCATAGTTTAACTCCGCATCTTCCATAAAAACAAAGTATTTATTTGTTTCTCCCCACAGTTTCTCTTGCTATTGAGTTGTCGGTCATTGCTTATTCATTCTCCTCCACTGGATCTAATTTCTTCTTCGGTATATCTCTTCACACACTTTTCGAACCTCTGCTCACCACATCTTACATGGCACTTGCTAACAACCCACAAGAAACCAAGTAATCTAAATAGCACAGACATACAGAAAGCGCGGAAATTACAAATGTCTTTTTCATTTTATGTTATTACATCATCCTCGGGCTAACCCTAGTGCAAGGTTAATCATATATACAATGCTCATCAATCACAACTGGCATTCAAAATAGGAAAACACATACAGAAATAAGTCCTAAAGAAATATGTGTTTCATTTCTTCCAGTATTTTTAAGAACTTAGCTCAATACTCCTTGACCGGGATCACCTGGCACAAAGAGAAATATTTATATTACATAGGGCTTAAACATTCGGAGTCTGGCTCCTTGATGATTTCTCTCTTTCCAGCTGACACTTAAAGGCCCAACAGGAAAAAGACTCAAGGACGTACACCATAAATATTTATCATCGCATCAATGACTCCCGTAAAATATTAAAGCTTTCCTTACCAAACTTAACCCATAATCCATCCATCGCTGGCTTTACTTGTACCAGTTGACTGCATGTTCATCTAAAGAGCCCATCAATCTAAACGAGCAACTCTGCAACTTGAGAGTTTGATTCCTAGGCTTCCTCCACTACTCACTCGATTCCTAGAATCTCTCCTCAACATGTACCCTAGTGGCACCATGGGCACTCCTCTCTCAAACAAATTGGCATTAAACTCTACAATCATCCGAATCATCTCAGTCAGCGCCTTTTCTCTGGTACTCACATGCGAACATGCTCTTAGCTAAGTTGCATACTCCGTTGATGCTCAAGCTGCCATCTTTAGGGAATTCACCTTTTCTGTCACCTCCTTAATCATTGTTGTGGTTATGTGCAATGGTGGTCTGAGGATTAAGCCAAATGAGATGGTGATGAGCTAGTTGTCGTTGACATTCATCATTAATAGGTAGCTCACTAAAACAAAGTGTTGACGACTATTTTGGAGTAAACAATGCTCGTAACCACGAAGCATATTCGATCATCATTAGCAATTGGACATTACACAAATACTAACCTTTTGAACTCAATGGCATCCATGCTTAGCTCCACTGAACAAATTGAACGTATCAATAGTTGAACAAAATATAAGAGCCCTGAAGAAGTTGTACAACCCTACACTTCCTGATTTTCTCAGTTTGGTACTGACGAGAAGAATCACCAATTGCAATAAGCAACCTAATTACAGAATTTCTCTCAAACAGCATTTCCTCGTCACAACCAACTCTTAGCACCGCCTCTGGCTACAGGAGGGACGCCATCTCTTCAAGTGCAAGTTACATATTTTTGTTTTATAACAAGGAACAGAAAGAAGCAGATATACACCCAATCATGCTCCTATTTTAGTTAAAAACAAAAAAAAAAAACTCAAAAAGAAAATGAATAGAAATAAAAAATAGAACCCATCCAAGTATGAAGTAAAGAACGAGCAAAATTTAATTTTTTAGTTTTAGGATATATTTAGTGGTTGAGTTTTACAAAAGTATGATTAAATATATCAAAATGTTTTTTTTTTTTTTTCAAACCTTTGGTTTGATTCAATGCTCATTGGTACAATATGAAAATAGCGTTTAGTTATTGAAACACCCCAATATACAATAAACTTCAAATCACAAGTGTTAATTAGTCGATATAAATTTTTATAATTATGATTATCTAATCAATATAACTTAGAAAATAAGAAAAAACACCAGTGTAATGGGCATAAACAAATATAACTTTCAAACATTTCCAAGATAGCTTCACTACGTCAAATGAAACAATGTAAAAAATGCACAACCATATTTCATTCAAATTTTAAAAATTTCATCGATAATCCATAACATCATCAATGAAAACAATCATCGTGATCACGAATACATAGAAGAAAGAACTTAAAATAAATAAATAAATAAATAAAACAGCAATGTAGTACCTCCAGAGGATCAGTTTCACCTTCAAGCTCAACCATTACAGGAGCATTCATGCTGTTAGCCAAAAAGCATTTGATGAAAATAAACTGGATGAACTACGAAGTAGATTTTTTTAAAAAAAAAGTTTGAAATGAAAGACCTGATCTGAAGAGCACGTGTGCCTAATATCCTTGCACGCTCATACTTTGTCATATATTTGGATGTTTTCCTAGGTTTCTCAACTGGTTCTTGGTCCTTTTCTTCATTTTCAACACCAACAATATCATCTGGAACATCATCATTGTTATCTTCCTCTACCTCTGCACCTTCCTACATAATCCAATCACCTTGACATTGCTACTTCTTGAGCGAGCAAAAGGCCTATGAAATTCAAAGATAAATGGTTAAAATATACCTCAATTTCAGGTTCCGGCGGCTCATCCTCATACCTGAAAACAATCAATTACCGTGGACAATTAGATCATTAGCTTGTCAACACAGAAAAATTGTAATTTCAAGCTTCAAGTTTCGTGCATGCAAGAGAACATTTTAAATGACAATTTTGAAAAATTCTGGTATGAAAGCATCATGATGCAGACATGCGCAGATCATATTAGATCAAATGGTTGAAAAAAATTGCTAAGAAAAAATGGATTGTATGGGCAAAAGTAAAAATATGATTCTGAGAGGATAGAAATATAAAAATACATCAACTGATAGATCAACCAGATTTTTGTTTCAGCATGAGTCAAATAATGCCAAAGAACTAAGACTTGGACAACAGAACAAACAGAAGAAGAGTAAGGCTCGAACAGATAATAGTGCTTCAAATGTTATATGATAAATTTATTCACAACATTCAAATAAAAAACGTTCAAACAGCGACAAGGCCAACATGGCCAACAATAGATGACAAATACATGATAAATGAAATCGAACTCAGATATTGGATAAAAATGATAAGCAGCAGAACGAGGAATGCCAATTAAATATTACTGTCCAAATGCTCCTAAAAATTAAGGAAAAAAAAAATAACTTACATCTAAAATAAAAACGGGACAATTATGTGCATACCACCAAGGTTTGCCTTATTTAGAAAATTATCACCAACTTTTTTATATCATAATGCCATTTAAATCTTGAAGAATGAAACAAAACTATCAACTTTCATTCGCAATGATTAGTTAAATTTAAAAGGATTTGGTAGTATCACTTGCAAATGCAGATATTTGTTAGCCCATTTTAAGCACTTAGGTGATAATTTTGTAAATAAGAAAGATTTTCATTAGAAACCAAGTAGAAACCCAAAGAATAAAGAGCAGCAGAGTAATATTTTATAATACGAATAAAAACAATGAATAAATGCTGTAGGAATAAAACCTATAGACAAAATTCTTTTAGGCAGGAACAAAGTAGAAACAAAGTATCATTGAGACAAAAAAGATGGAGAAGTAAATGAAATTGATTGAAAATCCAAAACATTTTTTTTATCAGCTGTAAAACTAGATGTAGCACCTAATATAAATGCCGGGTGAGAGTTTATAAAGGCCATCTAATATTGGTATGAACATACTAAAGAAGACAATGACAATGATGCTCATCCGATGCATTCAACACAAGAGTTTGAGGAATCACTGTTCCCACATATGTGCTAACTGCCACACTTCCCAAGGTAATCAAAACAATTTATTTAGGTGACCTAATAAAAATAGAAAAAGTGTGT